CGAGGCTGCGGTGGCCGGGAGCGGCTGCTGCACTCCAGTCTGGGCGACGGAGTGAGACTCTAACTCACAAAAAAATTAAAATTAAAAAATTAAAAAAAAAAAATCAGTAAAAATAAAAGGAGAGAACGCATCTCTCACTAACACTCACTTCTTGGGCCAAGCAGAAATGGGAGGAGAGAAGAAAAGGGAGAGGCTGAGAAGCCCTGGGGGGCCAGGCGGGAGCAGAGCGTGGAGAAGGCTGGGACGCCGAGCGGGTCTGCTGGCCGGCCAGGCTGACGGCCTCCACTCACCTCGGACCTCTCCCGGTGTGTGCTGACAGACTCCACATTCAGGTAGATGGACTCCACTCGGCAGCCTGGAGGACGCGGGACGGGAGACAGCTGCCGTCAGTGGGTGGACGCGGACAGCCCCGGCCCCGTGGGGCCGCCCGGGAGCGTGGGGAGGGGCGGGGCTGGTGGGCAGCTCTCACCGTAAGCGACGGGCGTCAGCTTCAGGACGGTGTGGAGGGGGCACTTCAGGTAGGGCATCTCCTCTGGAGAGAGACAGCCCGCAGTTCGCGATGAGAAGTGGGGCACAGGGAGGGAGGCGCACCCAGGGCTCCCCAAGAGATTCCCCAGGGAGCCCCGTGCCGGCAGGGGTGTCCGCCCAGAACACAGGCTGTCCTGCATGGCAGGCAGCCCTAGAAAAAGACACCTTGCCCAAAGCACACAGTCAAAGCAAACCCAGCCGGGCTCGGTGGCTCAGCCTGTCATCCCGCGCCTTGGGAGGCTGAGGCGAGTGCATTGCCAGAGCCCGCGGGTTCGAGACCCGCCTGGGCAACTTGGCGAGGCCTCCTCTCTACAATAAATCAAAAAAGTCAGCCGGGCGTGGTAGCACGTGCCTGTAATTCCAGCTACTCGGAAGGCTGAGGCGGAAGGATTGCCGGAGCCCAGCGGGTCGAGGCTGCGGCCACTGCACTCCAGTCTGGGCGACTGAGTGAGACTCCAACTCAAAAAAAAAAAAAAAAAACAGGCAAACCCAAACACACCCCATATAATGAGACTGGGAACAAAAGTTAGGCTGGGCAGTGGCTCATGCCCATAATCCCAACACTCTGGGAAGCCCAAGGCAGGAGGATTGCCCGAGACCAGGAGTTTGAGACCAACCTGGGCAACATAGCAAAACCCTGTCCCTACAAAAACTTTAAAAATTCGCCTGACGTGGTGGCCCACGCCTGAAGTCCCAGGTACCTGGGAGGCCGAGACAGGAGGATCACATGAGACCCGGAGATCGAAGTTGTGGTGAGCTGCCCCCTCCCCCAGGACCCTATGAGGTAGGTCGGTCAAGGATTCTCAGGGGGCTGTTTACGACAATTACAATTAAGCCCACTGGGCGTCAACCTGGGCTCAAAAGCATTCCCTGGCCGTGCATGGTGGCTCATACCTATAATCCCAGCACTTTGGGAGGCTGAGGTGGGAGGATTGCTTGAGCCCAGGAGTTCGAGACCAGCCTGGGCAACATGGCGAGACCTCGTCTCTACAAAAAAATAAAAAAATTAGCCGGGCGTGGTGGCATGCACCTGCCTATAGTCCTAGCTACTTGGGAGGCTGAGGCAGGAGGATTGCCTGAGCCCAGGAGGCCGAGGCTGTGGTGAGCAGTGATCGTACCGCTGCACTCCAGCCTGGGAAACCACAGGAGACCCCAACTCAAACAAAAAAGAAAAAAGATTTCCCAAGAGCCGCCGGGATGTGCCAGGCAGAGGCTGCCTGCGGCAGGCCCTGGACCACCACCCACACGGCCCTCCTGGTGACACAGCTGCCGCGGGCATGCAGCTGACCTTCCCACCCCCACAGAGGCTGCAGCCTGCCCACCTACCTGCGCTCTTATCCAGGAAGTAAGCCAGTAGGCAGCGCAGGACGGCCTGGTGGCAGATGACTAGCACGTTCTCCTGCCGTTCCAGCTCCATGATCACGGGCTCCAGGCGCTGGACCAGGTCCTGGTAGGACTGAGCAGAGGCCAGGCCACCGCGTCAGCAGGGGCATGCCTGGGAGGGGCCCTGTCCCCGGCCCCCATTCGACAGGCCAGAGAGCGGGCACCCGATCAAACCATCCATCAGTCGATCCACAGCAGCGGCAGTCGAGAAGGGCTCACCACGGAATATGGCTCAGCCCTCCAAAGCAAAGCCCTGACACCCGCTACTACATGGTGAACCCAGAAAGCCTCAAGCCAGACACGGCGGCTCACGCCTGTAATCCCAGGACTTTGGGAGGCTGAGGGGGAGGACCGCTGGAGGCCAAGAGTGCAAGACCAGCCTGGGCAGCATAGCGAGACCTCATCTCTACAAAAATATTTTTTAAAAAACTTCATGCTGTGTGCAACAGCCAGACACAAGAAACCACGCATGGTGTCCGACTCCATTTGCATAGAAAGCAAAGCACAGGCAAAGCCACAGACGTGGGAAGCAGCTTGGTGGGTGTCAGGGGCCGGGGAGGGGACCAGTCGGGGTTCATTCTGGATGAGGATAAAGTGTCTGAAGTTAGTGGTGATGGCTGCATGGCATTGTACACAGACTACAGATCACTGAACGCATTAATATAATTTCGCAAGGCGAAGAGTAGATTTTATGTGAATTTTTACCAATTAAAATCCATTTTTAAAAAACAGCAGGCCTGTGACGGAGGCCCCGGGTGAGGACAGCATGCTGGCCACCAGAAGCCAAGGCACAAACGCGCAGAAGGGCACAGGCAGGAAGGACCCTGCGAGGCGACAGCACCCCCAGCCCCCTCGGACCCCAGGGCCTGCGTGCTCGTGGGAAGTACCCTCCGTCGGGACCGGAGGACCAGCCCGGGGGACTCAGGGCCACCCTCCCAGCCGGCCTGTCCCCCCGTGTTGCCCTCTTCTCCAGAATCATCATGTACCGCCTTTTTCCTTCCTCATATCATCCCTTTGTTTTAAGAGACAGGGCCTGGGTCTGTCGCCCAGGTTGGAGCAGTGATACAATCGCAGCTCATGAGCGATCCTCCTGCCTCAGCCTCCTGAGTCCCAGAGCTACAGGCAGGAGTCACCACACTCAACTAATTTTCATTTTTTGCAGAGAGGGAGGGTCTTGCTTTGTTGCCCAGGCTGGTCTCGAGCTCCCGGCCTCAGGGGATCCTCCCACCGTGGCCTCCCAAAGTGCTGGGATCACAGGCGCGAGCCATCGTGCCGGCTCTGCGTCGTTCTATTTGTCACTAGAGAAGCAGATCTCACTTCTGTGCTCAAGGAAAACGCGGCCGTGCTAGAAGGATCCGTCCGGGAAGACCCGGTTCCCAGGAGGACATGAGGGAGCGTTAGGAATGAGTTTGCAGAACCCACGCGGAGGGAAACAGTGCGTCCTCCCTGGGGGCGCCCGGCCCACACGGCTCGTGGCGACGGGTCCCCGCCGGTGCCCGCAGCCTCCGCTGCCGCCCGCTGGCCCACTCACCTCCCCCGTGGGGTAGCGGTAGTAGTACTTGTCCTGCTCACGCAGCGCGTATTCCTCGGGGTAGGTGTCCCTGATCTCCTCATAGGTCAGCTCCTCGCAGACACCCTGTGGGGACCCCACGGTCACTCGGGCACGGGCCCACAGGCCCCGCGGCCACCCGCGCCCCCGGCCACCCACACTCACGGCGTCAATCTCGTTGAGCGCCTTCCACTGCTCGTAGGGCAGCCGCAGTGCCTCGGCCGTCTGGATCGTGCTCCGCAGCTGGCTGGTCCACACCCGCAGCCCCTTCAGGTTCTGCTCCTCCACGAACTTGCTCAGCGCACCGGCAAACTGTGGCAGGCGGGGAGCCTGAGTCCGGGGCCCCGGCCTCCCCCGGCGGGGCGAGAACCACACAGAGGGGACGGGACCCCATCCCGGTGAGACGTGGGGACGAGATGTGGGGACGGAAAGCCACCCGGGATGGCGGGCAGGACACGCACTCCCAGGGACCAGGGGACACGGCTCTTCCCCTCCCTCCCCCTCCCGGTCCACACTCGCTCACACATCACACACAGAGACACAAAGACACAGAGACAGACACAGAGAGAGAGACACACACAGAGGAGAGACACACACAGAGAAGAGACACACGCACACACAGAGACAAACATACAGAGAGAGACACAGAGAGACACACAGAGACACATAGAGCCCCAAAGACAAAGAGAGACACAGAGACACACAGAGACATACACACACAGAGACACAGAGAGACACATCCACAGAGACAAAGAGAGAGATACACAGACACACAGAGACACAAAGACATACGCAGAGAGACAGAGACACAGAGAGAGACACACAAAGAGACACAGACACATACAGAGACACAGAGATATATAGAGACAGATAGACACACAGAGACACAAACATAAACATACACAAGCCGGGCTCGGTGGCTCAGCCTATAATCCTGAGCCTTTGGGAGGCTAAGGTGAGTGAATTGCCTGAGCCCGCGGGTTTGAGACCCGCCTGGGCAGCGAGACTTCATCTCTACAATAAATCAAA